TGTAGAGAGTGATGAGGTCTCCCCTCAGCCTCCTTTTCTCCAGGCTAAACAACCCCAGTTCCCTCAGCCGCTCCTCATAAGACTTGTTCTCCAGACCCCTCACCAGCCTCGTTGCCCTTCTCTGGACACGCTCCAGCACCTCAACGTCCTTCTTGTAGTGAGGGGCCCAAAACTGAACACAGTATTCGAGGTGCGGCCTCACCAGTGCCGAGTACAGGGGCACGATCACTTCCCTACTCCTGCTGGCCACACTATTGCTGATACAGGCCAGGATGCCATTGGCCTTCTTGGCCGCCTGGGCACACTGCTGGCTCATGTTCAGCCGGCTGTCGACCAACACCCCCAGGTCCTTTTCCAACAGGCAGCTTTCCAGCCAGAAAGGACAGAGGAGAAAGGAGGAAGAGATGCAATTCTCGCACAGAAGGGTGGCTGAACGGCAAATGCAGGAGGCTGCAGCGCACTGCCACGCTCTCGCTGGCTGGTTCGGCCGCCTTGGGCCAGCGAGACAAATAGAACCAGCAGTTCTCCAAGGGTGAGAACCGTTTGCCTTCCTCGCCCCTTGTCTTTCCCTCACACTATTTCAAAGTCTTGCTTCCATGACATAACGTATCTTATAAACAGGTATGGAATCTACATATATATTTGTATGTGCCACCTATTTTTTTTTTTAATCTGCTCTCCTCCAGCTAAAATCACGTTCAAGTGGATGCGCCCTCGCTGGCCACACTTCATCACGGGGAACACAACCATCCGTGGCAGCTCTGAAAGCCTGGCACCTGACCTGCCTTCACTGTTTTCATTCTACAGGGGGACAGTTTTTCATGTTGTGTGGCAAATATTGGACTGTTTTGAATTACCGTTGCTAGACTTCAAGAAAGCAATTTTACAAACTGGCCAGAAAACTGGATGTATTTTGTTTTTACATAAAAAGACAATCTCAACAGAATGCAACAGATTTAGAGCAAGCGGAAACTTAAAGTATCTCTGCACTTAAGAAGCAAAAGAATTTTTCCTGCTGAAAGTGCAAGTATCAGGTCTTTAAAATGAGTAACCACTTCTTACGTTGCCTGGCAAAATGACATTGAAACATGCTGGTTTAAGTAGTTTTTTTAAAAGAAAACTTAAATTTCTTGAAATGGAAAAGCTTTTAGAAGTAATACTGCAGAACAGTTTCTACTAAGCTGTCATGACTTGACAGGATCCAAATTTAGCATCCCGTATTCTGAACAAGTTGTTTTCTGAGGAAGTTGGGGGTGAGGGAGAGTTAGTGGTTAAAATCAGCAAGCTATTGTTGAAAGTGACAAAAAGTGATGTGAGTGACAATACAGTAAATGTGACTTGTCCAACTGAGTAAGCTGTTTCGGATTTAGAATAAATGCAATTATTAAAAAAATCTGACATATAAAGCCACAAAATCATTTCTGAATTTGCTGTCAGGTGTGGAGTGGCACCAAAATATTACAGACCAAAGAACCAGTCTTAGCGCCATCAAAATATCAATCTCGCCTTTCTGACATTGTGCCTGGCCCAGCGTCTGTTCTAGAGGATGTGTCATGAAAATCCTCCTCCCACCCAGCACAGCATAAGTGGGCCTGATCCTGTCTCTTTTCTAAGGTCATCTCATCACTTTAGTCCTCAAAAGGACTTTAAAAGGAATCTAATTTATACGCTGTGTTCAGAAAGAGTAATAAAAGCTTTAATATAAATAAAATACGAGCCTAAATGTGTTCAGAGCTTTACCGGATAAAGCTTTATCCGGTGTGACCCAATGAGGACAACCACATTCCTATAGCAGTCACCTGCACCCAGCAACCCAGGGGATGCTTTCATTCACTCAACTGTCTATTTCTCAAGAGGAGTTGGAGGGCAGCTTTTCAAGCAGGTCGTGCTCCATCTTGTTTGCCATACCTGCAGAGGGGTGCTTAGACCTTAGCCATGCAGCCTACACCTGGCTCTCACACCCACAGTTGCCTTGATAATCCAGCCTATGGGGCTGGTTTCAAAAGTGAATTTGGTTCCCACAGCTGGATCGCCGTGTCTGGGGTGTAACACTGCTGCAGAACACAGAGCTATCACCGTGCCCGACACCCCAACTGTGCAAAGCCAGGAACTGTGCATGCACAACCCCATTTCCTTCTGCTCCCCCTCCCTTAAGACCACTGACACGGCAACTGAGACTGACCCTTCTAAAACACAAATACTGGTTCTACTGTTGTTCGTGACAGGGCAGGAAAAGTCCGTGGGTCTTCTTGGTGCATTTATGAGCACTTTTACGAGGTTATTCTTACTTTCTATGGGATCCATATGTGCAGGGTTTTCCACCCAAAAAATAAGGGCATCCCTACTGCTCTCAGTGTGAAGTGGGGTCAGGCTCTTAGCACTGAACTGAGTGAGCCCCAAGACGCACTCCTACACCTTGTCTGCACATCCTAACACGCAACAGCTTGAGAGCAAGACCAGGTTTTGAAACAGAGCAATTTTCACTGTCATCAAATAGAGCAAACAATGGGAAACACTAAGCAATTAGTCTGGGAAACCAGCACACGTTCATACAAACCAGTCGGGAACCCCAAGTAATACATACTACAGCACTTCCCCCCCCCCAACAGCGATGAAATCCTAGCACAGTTTAGGAAATAAAGCACCACGAACATGTTGGACACTGTACTTCCACTGACCTTCTCCGTGTGGCAAAGGGAATCACTTCTTGAAAGAGAAAAGAAGTCTGAAAGCTCCACAGCCACGATTGTCACAGCTGACTACTGGCAAGATGTTCACAAAATGTCTTTAAGTGGTAGGATTCAGCACGGCACAACAACAGCCAATAATGTCCCCAGAAGTCCAGTTTTGCCCAGTAATCCACGAGGTGGGTCATTTCACGTCTCAAGCCCGTAAATGGGTAGATTACTAATCGACAGGCACTGATTAGCCAAATGATATTCTCACTGAGGTTTCTGCAAGGTATTAGTGATGCATCAAGTCTGCAAAAAATATCCTAGGGCAGATTCTTCATTCCAGTGAAAGATGCACAACGGTGGTTTCACCCACAAATAAAACACTATGGTTGTAATCCTACGGGTCACAGGGAGAAGGAAAGTAATTTCGTTTTTTTTTTTTAAGCACAGTATCTGGCAGCAAACATAGCATCAAAACTTGAATGTGACTTTATATTTATATAGATACATGTATTTTACATATCGTTGATCAACAGAGAAGTATGTTCCAAGAAACAATTTGTTCCAGGTCTGGTTTAAAATGACGGCTTGTCATTTCTGGAGGCCCCCCTCCCAACACACACGCTCGGTTTCCGCAATCTGTACATCAAGCAATGCTGCAGATCTTTATTTCGACGGGCGAGGAGACGAAGTAAAAAAAGTGCAGTTCTTCAATTAAAGTGCATGGATGAGGTAAACTAATTTCAAGAGTTTTGAGTTTATTCAGTACTGGCTCAGACGGGAACCATCCTGCCGTGCATCTGTTGCATTTGGGTGCGCATTGCTTGAACGCTGCTCAAGATCTTGTTCTGGTGCGCGATGGCAGTGATCCCGATCCTTGCCAGGTCACTGTGGAAAGCAAGAGAAGAAGCGGGGGGCTGAGAACTGTGGATCAGATGCCGGTGCAGAGAAAAATATTAAGTCAACCGCAAGCAACGCAGCAAAAGCAAGGCAGATGTACAGAAATGTTTAATTAAATAAGTGAAGGCATTGCGGAGGCATTTTAAAGTTATCCTCCGTCCAAATGAAAGGCATTCCATTCCTTTAATGAATGTAATGATATGCAGCACAAAGCAAAAGAGGCCGATTAAATCCAGATTTACCAGTTTTTTTGCTATATCGCTGAGTACTTACTCCTGGTTCATATGCACCACAGCCTCTAGGGTGGTATAGCCAGCAGCTGTGAAGTTATCCTTGTATCGCTCCATTTTGATGGCTTGGAGCCAATCACCGACAGAAACAACCGCCGAGAACTCAGGGGAGCTGGGATCCAGCAGGGCTGTGCTAGGTCTGGATGCCAAACAGTGGAAGGACAGAGAAATGGTGTCAGCTGGATCATGAATCGCAAACCAAAGTTTGGTCTCTGCAATAATTACCCTCAACGATCAGGGAAAGTAAGGGCAAGACGCTGCGCCCAGCGAAACTGGGGGCTCTCCGCACAGCAACGTAGATCAACGCAAGAAGCTTAACAAAATGCCAAGGAAGAGGCCAATTTCTGCTAAGAATTAATTTGACCTTAGGTTTCTATTTTTGCTTTCAGATCGAATTTGAACCACTATGCTGCTTACAATTTCCACCTCAGATGCAACCAAGTTCATAGAAAATGCTTTTACTTCAAAAAACAAAGAAGATGGCAGTGCTGGAAGGCGTTCAGCCTACTGGGTCTGTATCTCACAGGCAGCAATGTGAGACCTTGCCAATCCTGCATATGTCAGACCTCAGCTCAGCAACTATAGAAACACTGCTGAAGTATGCGCAAAGGAACTGGGAGCTCGCAACCTGCCAGACTGGTTTGGAGGGCAAAATTCAGGGCGGGTTCAGATAAGTCCCGCTTCTAGCCAGGTTCGCAGGCAAGCTCAGTGCATTCAATCAAACGCAGGACAGCAGGGAGTTAATCCCCTCTTTAATCAATCCATTCCTGACCGGCGCGTGTGCCAGGAGTGGCGGGAATCACGCGAGCTTTGATCTTTCTTTGCACTGTGGAACGTGCTTCTCATTCTCCCTTGCACAGATTTGCGAGTAATTATTTTTACAACATTTGCTTCTCTTATTAATATCTCATTTATTATTTCATGTATATTGTAAATCACAGTTGCATTAAACCATTATAAATTACTACCACCTATCTAACCAAAACAATTATCATTTAGCAATTTATTTGAAAATGCACATCAAAGATCAGGTGTGCAATAGCCTCGTTACGTCTTGCCTAAGGCACTGAGTACATGCTGGTAATACTTGGTACAACTCTTTTACTGTACTATCTAACACAAGACGAATGATGGCAACCTAATTATACACAATTATGCTTCACGTATAAAGTCATATAATATATTAGTTATATGCATATTTGAAATTCATATTCCAAAGAGAAGAAATAGAAAGATCTATAAATAGCCATGAACATGAAGTGACCTTGAATAGGCTATTAACTTTTGGTTTTTATATATATACTCACACATGTACATACATACACATACAAAATGACCTCGAACAGGCTATTAACCTTTGTAAAATCTATATATTTTCAAAGAGCACCTGTAAATTGGAAAGGAAGCAAAATGGAGGAGTTCATAGTGTGATTCTCAAATCAAATTATCACAGCGGATCATATTGTGATTCTCACCATGTAAATTATTTAAGCCTCAAGGGTGGATACCCTTTCCAGGCTACCAATGCAATTAGGGCAATCTGGAAGATACGTGGTGCTAAGTGGCCTCACTGGGTTAATAATCCCTCTTCTGATAATGTACACTGTAAGCAAGAGTCACAAAGGGACCTACAAGTTTAAAAACGAAAACAGCTTTTTCCAGGATGTTGTTCTGTTGGAGGCTGAATCAGAACCTCTGTTACTCCTTCACTGATTCAAGAAACTTAACTTTGTATTGCCCAATGGATATTTTTGTACCTTCCCTTCCACTGAAAAATATTTTCCCATTACCTTCCTCTTGTTTCTTTTCTTTTAAGCTTTTTTACATATTTGCTGTAAGCAAATTTACCTTACAAAGCAAAGACATTTGAAAAAAACAGAACAAACCTGGTGTAAATTAGTAAAGCTCCTATTACTTCAGCAGTGTTTCACCAGCTTAAGGAAACTGCTGATCTGTCCCAACAAAGAGATTTTGGTTTTACCCTACAACTCTGGGAGTTTCCTTCCCACTGCGCTTCTTTTGCACGTACCAGATATACCATGCTTAGCAAACAAAACAAAACACAAATGTAATGCGGGAGTGGTGGAGACATGAAACTGGCTTTCCACAAAATTAAATTCAAATTCACATGAAAATTAATCCACGCCTTCCCAATGCCCAGAAGGCGTTGGCTGCAATGCCGTAACGCTCATCTGCAAATCCTACACAAATCTAGGGTTTATAAAACTTGATGATGTACTTTTCCTGCAGAAAACCACATCACTCCTGTCAGCTACACTGCATTAAGGCTACCCGTTCAAGCCCTTTCGCTAAGGGGGAGAGGGAAAAGACGCAGCAAACTTGGTCTTCAAACAGAGCTTCCCTGCATCAGAGCTTTTTCAGGACACGCTTAAGACTGTGCTATAAGCCTGGTCAGTGCTGGTGTGATACAGCAACAGCTCCGCTCATTCGATTTTCCTTCTCCCAGAGCTAGGAGAGTCTGGGGCACCCAGCGGGGTCCAGCAGTATGCCAGCAGGACCTCTCTAACTCTCTTGCACGGTGCAATGTCTGCTGTGCAGTCTGGCTCTGCAGAGCGACAGAGCACGCCTTAATCCCAGGGCAGAGGTTTAGGTGACTCGCAGCTTTGCCTGTCATCTCCACTGTGCTCCCTCGTACATCACCATTACAAAAGCGCAGCTGACCTGGAGCTCTCGCTGCCTGTCCTCTTCAGGCTGTTGGGGTTGCGGATGAGTTTGTCCAACATGTTGACGATCTGTCCAAATTTAGGCCTGTCGCTGCGTTCCTTCTGCCAGCAGTCTAACATCAGCTGATGGAGAGCAATGGGGCAGTCCATCGGGGGCGGCAGCCGATACCCTTCTTCAATGGCTTTAATAACCTATAAATGGCACAATTAGGAAGACATTAGAGAACATCAGACACTACTCACATCTACCAGCTGAGCATCATTTATCCTAGGGCGATCCAAAGTATGGAAACAAATCCACAATTAAGTGAAACAACATGGAAAATTGCACTCAGGCTCAGGCAGTTGGTGGTCTCAGAACTGTCATTTCTCCTCAGCAATTCGAAACGAAAAGGGTACAGAATCCAAAGCAGACATCAGATACAGCAGGGCGATGTATCACAAAAGAGCACGTGGGATACAGGGATGACAAAATAGCCTAGGTTAGAGTTAAGCAACTATCCTTCTTGGACAGAGGGTTGGAGAAGCAACAGCTCTACAGCAAATCTTTAGTATCTGTCAGTTTTGGGTGCGATATGTTGAAGATGAAATTTTCGCCATCATTTTTAGGATACAGCAGATCTCCCTCTCCTCCTGGGCTAGCTCATCTCTGTCAGTAACACAGGCCTTGTAGAGAACCTGTTCTCTCACCACTCTATGCTCTGAATCAAGAAACGCAGAGATGGGAACCCTTTTGTTCAGCTTTATCAAGAAAGTTACAGAAGTCCAACGCATTTCGTATTTAATAGAAACCAAGAAAACTCACAAGCTGAAGTCATTTCAAACACTCCAAAAAGGGCTCCAGAGCTCAGTACTCTGATGGCTTCTTCGCTCTCTCAGGAGAACGGGACGTGACCAGGACTCAATTCTGGTATGACAGGGACATGACCCAGAAGCTTTCAGACCTTAATTAATCGATATGACTTTGCTGGCAGGATTCACCATGAGACTAGAGACCAGGAGTGCACACGGACTGAATTGCACTAAATTCCCTCGTTCTGTTCTTGTCCAATTAGTGGCTAAAATCCACTGGGAGGACAAGGCGAGGGATATCCTTGCGCTATTAGCAGCTGTTCAGTGACCACAAACAAAGTGGCTCTCACTACTCCAGAAAGTATGAAGACCCTTTTGATTTCTCTTGATTCAACAGACACTGAGAATAATTTGAAATCCACTTCTGCTTTGCTGTGAAAAGCACTGCTCTCACCATCGTTAAGGAGACAAAAATGGTATGTCTATGCCACGTAGTAAAAAGGGGATGCAAAGACAGCAATATTGGCTTTCACCGCCCTGTTCAAACCAGCTTTTCGACGTGGTCTAGCACTGCACATTAGCAGTGGATACCAGCCTAATACGCTAGCTCTGCGTTTGTTGCATTGAGCTCCACTGTGCTGTGTTGACGTGCCTGATATAACTGAGACACATCTGGTGTTTTATTTTCTTGCTAAGTCTTGATGACTTCCTGTTAGCAAAGGAAGGCAAGACTGGGTGCCAGAAGAGACGTTTCACATCAGAAGGAAACTAAAATTATATCCCCCGTTTAGATTAAATGCCATTCGCATCTAGACACTCTTTGAAAATGTTCAGCTCTACATAAGAAAGCAGATGACTTGTAAAATGACTTAACCACTCCCATGACCATATATTCAGATTAACATTTTTTTCTTCCTTTATATGTTTGTAAATTCCCTGGGAGAAGAATTATGGATAATCTATGCCTCATTTTCACTGGGATTTTTTTTTTTTTTTCCATTTAATAAAAATTCTATTAGCAAAAGCTCTTATTAGCATCATTATTAAATACTCTTCTGGAATAGCGGCCATTGTGCACGCTCCCTCTTGGAATACACTGAACTAGTCCAGATGGTACGGTTAAACAGGACATGCATAATTTAAGAATGGTCATTTAGGAAAGCTGCTTTTTAATGTCCTCAGGGGGCAGCTACGCAATTGTCGCAAGGATGCTCTGACTGATAATCAGAATTGGATTTCATATGTGTTGTTTTAGATAGCCTACAAGAAATAAAATCACCTGGAAGAATTACAAGCATACTGGGGCTTGAAGAATTAACTACTAATAGCAAGCCCCATTAAATTCAAGTGTTTTTTCTTAAAGACTTTCAATGAAGTTGAGATTTAATATCAACATTCAAATCTTCCCTCTCTTGACAGTATTACGACCTGACAGTTTAAATATATTCATTTCCCTTTCCTCCATTCTTCTTTCTTACTTTAATTGCTTATAATATTTTTTCCTAAAATTAAAAAAAAAAAAGAAGATAAAAAAGAAAGGAAAAAAGATACATGCACAAGTTATAGACCCTAACTTGAGAATCCCCTATTCCCTGACCATAGACCAGGCTTCAAGTATTCAAGGAAGTCTTAGTTCCAGAGAGGTTCCCTGAGAAAACAGGAATCTACCACCCATGATATCCTTTTAAAAACTTGGAGTAAATGTCTTCTAACCATATAGCAATTGACGCAGAAACACATCAGCAGACTTCTAAGGACAAAGATAAAGGCGCGAGGGGGAAGGGAGAGAAAAGGAAGAAGAGGCTCGGAAGGAGACTCACATCTTGATTGGACATATCCCAGTAAGGTCTTTCTCCGTAGGACATCACTTCCCACATGACGATGCCATAGCTCCACACATCACTAGCCGATGTAAACTTACGGTAGGCAATTGCCTCTGGTGCAGTCCACCTGATGGGGATCTTGCCACCCTGTCACAAATAAAAGAAAAGACAGGCTAGCGAGTCACCGGCCCAGTAATGTGCGTGGCTGACACTGTTCTACACTGCCATTAAAAATACAAAATGGTTTTCTGTACGCAATTCCAGAATCCTTCTTGAAAAGGCATCCGCTTTCTCTTTTTCTTGCCATAAAACTGTCAGATCCAACCAGGAGGCAGTGCTGCCCATCTGTTTTCTTTAGTCACAAGGAAGCGAACCAGTAAATTGTTAAATGTATTTTTATTGGCCCTCTAAGAGAGCTCTGCTTAGGGCGATGCTGAAGTATGAGAACAAGCCAGGGGTTTTACAAAGTATATATTAGAGATTTAGTTGACAAAACAAATAAGTACATGCTGTTAATTACTATTTCCTTGCTTGCCTGTCTGACCTGTTTGGCCTGTTTCAGAAAAATGGGATTATAAACGTTTTGCTTTTCAAAAAGGTAAAATAAAGAGAGGATAAACTGGGAAGATTTGCGAATACTGTGGTGTTTCCCATGGGCAACATCCCAACTCCTACCAGAGATGCGAGATGGCAAGCAAGCCTCTGGGCTCTCCCGGTCCCTGTGGGAGGAGTTCAACACCAGAGCACGGTACGAGGCTGCTTTTGATACCTGTTGGAGAGAGCTGCCTCTTGTTACAATACTTCTTTTTAAACAAATAAAAACACTTTGGCATCTGATTTGGGCCACTGAGGTCCTGCACTGTTTTAAAAGGAACTCACTCCCTCCTGTTTATCTGATTTTGCCTTAGCTGAGTGATCCCAGGCCAGAGATTTCTCCTTTTATTTATGCTAATATGCAAGGTGTTTTTAATTGAGCTTTTGGTTTCCTGCAGTTTCATCTGGGGAACAACTTAAGCTGAACAAAGGTTTTAGGGTTTTTTCATTTGCTTTTATGCTTTTTTGATGAAGTTTATTTTGGTAGGTTTTTTCTCAGCAATCTTCTAGATAGTTTTTACCCATAACTGAGTGCAGCGTGTGCATACTTAATGGTTCATTGTTCTGGTATCTCTCTCAAGTGTTTAATATGGACTTGTTCCAAAGCCAAGTGAAATCAAAAGGGGTCCTTCTCCTGGCTTCTTTGGCCTTTGCATCAGGCCCTTTGTGGATCAGGTCGTAGCAGTATATGCCTTGTGTGGCTATAGGATGCTTTCACTTCAATGAGTTATACCACTAACGGGGAGCAGAACGCACCATTCTCTTAAAAAAGGATGTTTTAAAAATTGCATCCGATTGCATCGTCTCCAGTTATGAAAAAGCTCTATTCCTCCTTTCAGACACAGATCCATGGACACTGTTTATACAGGGTTGTCATTCTAAAAATTGTCAATAAGCTCTTTTTATTTAGCTGCTCAAGTACAGTGGAGTTCATCCAAATTTTCCTGATCCCTCATTACTGATACTAAATGAAGACAATGCACTGTAATGCAAATGTCATCGATTCCCTGTAGTTTACTCTTGAGAGCAAACATAATACTATATCTCCACTCACTAAATTCAAAGGGAGGCTTTTCAATCATTTCTGTGTTGCCCTTGTGGGTTTGTCTAAACTTTGATTTCCCTGAATACAGCTTTTCAGACCTCTGCTTCTGCTTCTTCCACTTGCCGCCCTTATGAGTGAGAAATACCAAGGCTGGCCAGCGTTTAATACTACACGAGTCTATCCTTCCCTGTAATGAACTGTGAATCCGTTAAAGGATGAGTGTTGGGATTAAACTGCAAAATCTGAGTGCTGCAAACAAACTCTGCACTAGGGAGAACAGATGGAGAATGGCAGATATTTAAAAAGGAAGAAAATAAGCAATTAAAAAAGGAGACTTTATAAACTGACTTTTTTTTCCTTCACGCGTATGTTAATTACAGAGGTATCGGTACAAAGGCTGGTAATGGTCGGGATGTTGTTTTGTGGCCAGAAGTATTTGCATTAGTACTATTCCACATGCAGCATATTAAAATGGCTTTAGCAAAATTAGTTAACAGTGGGATGCTGAAATATAGATAAAATGGGAAAGAAATAAAAAATGGGAATGCCGGCCTCACACTTTTCCCAGTCTAAATTATTTAGGTCAAATTTATGACTAGCTTTGTGATGGGCAAAAATGGAGTTATCGGGGGTTTTTCTGGTGGCATATCTACACTCACTGAATCAAACCTCAGTGGGACTAGCCACTTGCAAATAATTATGCACGTCTGTAGATATCAGAAGGAATAATTTCTGGCATCAGATTGCTGTCGCGCACTCTAGCACGCTGAAGGAGCCAGAGGAATACACGGGTCACATCCTCAGGGAGGAAATACTAATGTAGACACTGATGTAGCAATAACACTACATCAATTTATACTAGCTATGGAGTCTGGGCCAATGTTTATTTTTAGGTTGTGATATAGGTTTTCACTTATGACTGAGATTATTTTAAAAACAAACCATTGTCACCTCCCACACAGTCAGACAGAACCAATATGTAGGCAAGAAAACCCACTGGACGTTTTCTTTCCCTCCTTACCCGTGTGGTATAAGCTGCTTCAGGGTCGTCTTCCAGGACACGGGACATGCCGAAGTCAGACACTTTGCAGACCAAGTTGCTGTTGACTAGTATGTTCCGAGCAGCTAAATCCCGATGCACATAGCTCATGTCAGACAGATACTTCATTCCTGAGCCAATGCCACGAAGCATCCCCACCAACTGGATGACTGTAAATCTGCCATCATTCTTCTGCATATGGGGAAAGGAAGAAAATCACAGAGCATTAAGCTAAAAGCTACATTATTGCCATTGCTGAAATTGGCAAAGAGCGTATCTCTGGATTCCCATCTTCTCTCAAATAAAATGCAATGTTATTTCCTCACTCTCCTGACTAGTGTCTATAATTCACCAGTAAAGTACAAACCCAGAGGTTCTGTCACAGCTTCCAGTGATGCAGTATCCAGTTTGCAATGAATCTGGTTTTAATGAGTCTACAGCATTGCGATGCTTTCAGAAATGGAGCAAATCAGAACTGTTCCCATTAAACATGGGTTATTTAAGACCCTGCCACTTTAAACATTACATTTATTCTATATCCTTCCACTTTACATTTATTCTGGTTTTCGACAGGAGCAACAGCAGAAAACAGAATTTCCCAAGTACAAACATAATTTCTTTAAAAATGCCGAATTTTGAGTATCTGTCTGCAAAAAAGAATCAGAATGAAAACCAGAAAATGTTTCCCAATGTAAAATCTGCTTAGCTTATTATGAAGAAATCACCTACCCTGAGGAAGGCATCCAAGGAGCCATTCTCCATGTACTCAGTTATGATCATTACCGGTTTACCTAGAGTTGGCAGAAAGAAAAACACAATTCCTTGATGAACACCGATGTTAATGGGATAAAAATGGGTAGCACATGATTTTACTGCCAAGACACCTGGCTTACACAATCTAATTTAATTTGGAAAGCACCAAGCTTATGCCTCAGCTGTGGGGAGCAAGAGAAGAAATATTATAGGACAGAAACATTTAAAGGGCCCCATCTGGAAGGTTAACCCTTTGGTTGACTCATTGTCAAGGTCTTCAACTAAAGTGGCTCCTGTTCTCTAAGGAATATATGAATTGGTAATTGAGAGCTAAGAAACAAAGATCTGTTCAAACTTGACAAAAATCTTTAGTGTAATTAAGTTGCTTGCAGACTAGAAAGCCTTCCTCTTTCAAAATGGAATTTGTGAATGCTTTGGTCTCTCTGCCTCTTTCGAAAGATCAACGCTTTAGGCGAGTTAGAAGCTGTCAGCAGCTACAAGGTATTCCAAGACAACTGGATTCAAGAATGCAAAATACAAGCTGTTCCTCTCAACTTTCTCTGGCCCGAATTTGTATCCTGTGTCTCTCGTTATTTATAAATGAGCCAAAGCCATTTGCCTCATGAAGCCAACCACAGGATAAATGGTTCAATGAACTGTGTCACATGTGGGGCGTAGCGCTTCAGCAGCACTCAGCCTTCCACGCTGCAATACAGAAAGCCAAGCTGGGCAATCTGAAGAGAAATGTAATGTTAGTGACATGGGGATGCTTTCTAGGCACTCTCCTGCCTAAAACAACAGCAAATACATAAATAATGCTTGATGTTGTCTTTAAGAGCTTTACAAAGTCATACGATGCTGAAACTGAAAATGTTTAGGTACGTACAAGTAACACTAATTATTTCACAGGGTTAAATCATGCTGGATATTCAGCATCTTGGTATTCGCAGAAATGGGCCCAATATCATCTCCATTCTACAAGTGAGCAATGGGAGATGTAGAGAAGTGACTTATCCAAGGTCGAATGGAAAAGCCTGGTCCCAAGATGGGCACTGTTAAGCCCACCTGAAGTCAAGGGAGCACCTGACGATCAGCGCCAGGCTGGCATGGCAACCCTTCCTCCCAGCTTTGCTTTAGCTACAGGAACTATCGAGTTTCTTCATAAATAAAAGACAGTGTCCCAGAGAAACTCTGCTTTCATACTTCCTCGAGCAGCTCTGAATAAGGGAACATTATGGGGGAAGAAGGGTTCAACGGACACGTCAACTAGACTGTAGATAGCTCAATTCTGTCTTGGCATCAGAGGTATCAGAACTACTCAACTTTTCCTTGCTTCTGTCACCAGCAAGTACCTGCTCCAGAACAACCAGCTCTGAAAATTACCCTACCGTGAAATGTTGCAGCATTGAAAGTTCCCCTAATCACTTCTACCTCAGCGCGTTTTTCACCAAGGTGCTTTTCTCTTAATTTGTCAGGGACTTCTGTTTTTGAAGTAACCTTTTATTTTTGATTAGAAAACAATATGCTGTAAGGACTGACTGTACTGAAAATTTTACATCATTTCACTTAGGCCAACACGTATGTGTGATACATCACTTATTTCACTCATCATTACTTGTTTCACCTTTTCAGTCCCAACCCATCCTTTGCAGGCCTTTTACTATTGCCGCTTCTCCTTCCCTTCCCAGCTGATATCAAAACTCTTACTGTTTCGGTCCCACGCAAACTGGCACGCCTGTGAAATGCCAGTGTGGCAGCTGAACCCTTTCTGATTCGCATGAACGCAGCAGAGAAGCGGTGGTACTGCATAAAGCAAACTGCTCTGGATGAAGGGCTTAGTGACCTTGGCTGAGTACTTGCACCCTTAAGGAAAGGGACGTGATAAACCATCATTCTCCCTCTAATTCACTTTTGCAAGCGTTCTTTGGTAGAAAGAGAAAAAACTCCAGCCAAATCTGCATATGCCACTGTTTCATTTATCCTTTGCAACTGTGACCGGAACCCTTCCACTGAACAAATACAGCTAAATGAGTTTTAATTAACCCTCCTCAATCAAAAGATACTATGTCAACGCAGAAAGGAAGAAAGGGGAACTCTTTCAGTGCATTAACATGTAATTTCATTACTCAGGCACTTCTTTAGCAGGGGAGGGGGATAGAGAGAGGAGAAGTTACCATCAGTGAGTCAATTATTAAAGTACTTGACTAGCAGCCAATAATGTATTCATGGTTTTTTGCTGCCTCCCTCAACCCCCACCTACACCACTATTTATCTCACATTTTAATTTTCAGTTTATTAAATGCATTCATTTATCACAGCATTCAGAAAACCTATGGAGAAATTGAGATAAATGTCTTCGTAAGTAGCCCTGTTTACCAAACACCAGCTCTGAGGTACCCAAGCTGGCTTGCTGCGGAAGCATCGCTTACTGCGCGTCAGGCAAGGAAACGTTCTCAGGTCAGGCTACCACCCTCCTCAGTGAAAATTTCAAATCATTTTAATTCAGTGACAACTGCATTATGCAAATGCATACAGGCATTTATAACTGCTAGAGCTGTAATAGCTCAGGGGTTTCCAGCCTCGGTGGGATTTCAACACAAAGATTCCCCTGTTGCCTTTCTTTTACAGAGGTGCTAGAAAAATCACTGTCTGTAGCAAACACTGCGGCCTGACCACAACCCCCCCCGGCTTTGTTACAACAACAAAAAGAGAAAGAGAGAATCAGACCCGCAAAATTTAAACAAGAGTATTATCTTTTAATTTCAGTTGTGAGGGAGGCCCTCAGTAAACGATGGTCAAAATTAGCCCAAACCCCTGTTTTCCCTAGCGGAATTTGTCTTGAAAAGCAAACAGCGACACACTGTATGAGCCATTTTCAACAACTGTGAGAGAAGGCAGCCTAGGAGAGGGAAACACAAATGAGTAAGGGTAAGATTTCCAGAAACACAAGTGGTGGAGTAAGCATCCAGCTCCCACCAACATTCAAGAGGGACAGCGTTTTTCAGCGGTATTGATGGCTTTGACAACCCTCTATGGGAGATACTTTGTTCTTCTAGTAGTATTTTACTTTTTAACTTTCCATCCACATCTAATTTTAATTCCTTACACTATTAATACCCTGCGTTCATGTTCATCACGCACACCATCAGCTGCAGAAGGCAAGCTTCACAAATTCCACCCTTTAACAGCAGCTCACAAGATCACTGTCTGCTTTCTTTGCTACCCTGAGCATGAGCCCCTACATCCAAAGGGTCTTTTAGGATTAGTGATCAGTGCCAGGCTTTGCCAGCACGCTATCTAGGGCAGTTGGAGTAGGGACAATAACTACACCATCACAGTGGCACCTTATCAAGTCAGACCCAAGCACGTCTGTCTCACAGGTGTATTTTTAGTTCTAGCCTACAAAGAGCACCCAGCGAGCGCTGTCATTCTCTTTCTAAGGCAGGGTTCATGGCACAGTGAACGCTAACAGAGTTTAAAAAAACCCAAACCAACCAAACAAAAAGATCAGCCAGGTAAATTCTGCAGAGTGAAATTATCACACCTGTAAACCAGAGAAAACAAATAAGCAAGTTTCACACTAAAATAGCCTACTTCATTTCAAAGGCTTGCTCCTCACATCTGTGCTTTGTACCTTAAACATATGACTCTAGTTTTGTTTTGGTATTTCTCCCCCAACCATTTTAAATTCTTTGCTCACCATCTGCTTTTGCCTATCCTGTAACAATCAGCTCATTCTAGCAAAGATGTGAAAGATGCCTGCTTGGCATAGCAAGAAGGGGAAAAAAAACCCCAACCCCTGCAGTATTAATTCCCCCTACAAAATCTTGTACAAGCTGCTTACAGATAGAGTATCAGTTGAAAGCATAAACCCATTTATAGCTGACAACAAGATTAATGACTTGTCCTGCACTGATTTCCTCCTATTAGCTATCAGTGGATCTGTTCCATCTGTCATTTCACAGGAGAGAGGGTAAAAAGCAAAAAAAACCAGCACACACCACCACAGACTTAATTTCTCAGCGACTTCCAAATTGGCCTTGTCATGAAAACGACCTACTTACATTTAGTAACTACACCTTCCAAGTGGATGATATTGGGGTGGTCAAATTGTCCCATGATGCTGGCCTCACTCAGGAAGTCTCTCCTTTGTTTATCAGTGTAACCAGCTTTTAGAGTCTTGATAGCAACACAGATCTCTCTTTTTCCTGGCACTTTGAGACGTCCACTGCATACTTCACCAAATTCCCCTTAAGGAAAAAGGCAGAAGAATCCATGGTCATGAACGTGAAGCACGCGTTTGTGTTGTCAAACTGTTATGTCAGTTCATTTGGGGGAACTGTCGTTCAAAAATCAGAGGATCCCATGTTTCCTAAAAGCAAATTTAAAACTGTATTTCCAGAAAAAAATGCGAAAGTTCTGGCACTTACCCACACCAATAACTTTTTCAATCTTTATGCAGGAGGCATCAATTTCTTTGGCAAATTCCCTCACAGCTTGGTTTGGATCCTCATATGTAAAAGGATCCACATATGTTCTAACACCTGCAAGGCAGAAATGTTTTATTTGAAGTCACTGATCTACATGCTGCTGAACACAGAACATATGAGACTGAAGCCTTAATGATATACAACAGCAAAGAGAGTGTACAATAAAAATGTACTGTAAGCCAGGAATGACTGATGAAGGAAGGAAGGACTTAATGTATTTTTCCCCCCGATGTGATTTTTTTTAATGTAAACATTTACTATTTCCCAATATCGATGTAAGGAATCAGGCTTTTGCCAATAAATGAGCTTCACAAATCACTGCCATCACTAGCAGGCCAATAGCCTGTCTATGGACCTGTGAGACTAAAACACATCGCATTTCCCTTTTGGGACCCAAGAAATTCTGAGCTCAAGGTCCTAGGTTTGGTACCTGGATGACTGAGATGGAAGTAACAGTAGGATTCAGTCCTGGAAAAAAGGCAGCAAAGGTCACTTTTTCCCTCCTGCAGGATTGCCTCTGGCCCATCCAGAAACTGCCTTAGCAGAGTTTTGTGGGAAAAAATCATGCTATCGCTAGCCAAGAACAGATGTCTTTCAGTGGAACAGAACAATGGGAAAAACTGATGAACTTTCTCCTGACTGTCTCCTCAAAAATTTTTACCCAGATACTTCTGTTTTCCCTGTTACTACAGGGCATAGTTTTGAAGGAGGATGTTTGCAAGAGAGGCAAACAGAAACATATTCATCTCAAGAGGAATGTCATCCCTTATTTCCCTAGCATCAGAACACGGGACATGTTTTATGAACCGAATCAAAAAACCCAAGCACCACTGCCTTTTACCTTGGTTCAAATGTTTCTCCTCATCTGCCTCTTGCTTAGCCTTACTGTACTTACTGCGCCTGTCAGAACAAAAAAGAGCATTACAGTTCAAAATAAGTATCTTACTTTGAGACAAACTCGGTCTTCTTGACCTGCTGAGACTTGAGCTGACCTGTGCTCGGCAGCTCCCCCACAACAGCCCATGACACAACATACACTTACCAGCGGGGCAGGAGACTCCTCTCCTCCAACTGCTCTAAGTGTTATTGGCATCAACAAAGCACCAAGGGAAACACAAATCCCTGCATTTGCATCTCGGCATTTAAAGAAAGAAAAGCAAGCTTGTGTTTCGGCTACTTTTTCTTCAAACGTGCTTTTGCAATTCTGTGCAAAAAAGGGCCAAATTGCTTTTTAGCCCTATCATATATGGATTTAAATGCAGAGGTGTTTTGTAGATTGATTTTCAAACGTAATCAGGCAAATGCCAATACCAGCACACTTATTTAATGGCAGATTTTAAACTGGAAACAGTCTAGTAACATAGAAATCAGGATGGCAGCAAAAAAAAAAACCCTGACCACCAAAAACGCAAATCCCAAGGATTTTGTTTATTCTTTCAATCACTGTATAATTGAAGGGGGCAAAGAACTCCTGATGGCAGAGCTCCCCTACTAACCCTCGGAGTTGGAAACAATAATGTAGTGTAGTATGTTAATTCTATAGATTACTATTTCTACACCTACACACATGATATCGTATCCAGTTATGTATTTAATTAGTTCACCTTTAAACTTCAATGGGTAAGTGGCATTAAGACAACTTAATACAAGAAGTTAGACTGTTAGGGAAGATACTGAGGAGTCAGCTGAGCCAAATGTGTACTGGGATTTGAAGCTCCCCAGCATCCGACGGTACGTAGATGTAGAGATTTGATTTGGGCTTTTACCCGTCATTCACTGAAAGTTCAGAACCAGGCGTAAGAACAGACATCGCCAAAGAGAAGGGCTTATTGCTGCTTACTCCTCAGTTTGCCTGTTCCTACGGAAGCCCAAGTCTCCCAGCGTGTCAGACCCAGGTTAGCTAACTGGCAAGAGTCCGGGCTGGCGTGAAGAAGAGGGAAGGCAGAAGGAGAACCCAAGCCTGGAGAACAGGAGGCGAGACTGGCACTGCCTGCGATGTGCAACCCGCTGCCTGGAGCGGGCAGGAGACGACCAGGCCTGCCAGGGACATTGGGGGGAGACTGGGTTAAAAGCCTGAAAACGGTGAATGGGTAGAGGAGGAGGAAAACGGGAGTGGGTGAGAGAAAGACGTATCAGGAGATGCGAGTTAAAAGGGGTCAAAAACTCGCAGATAACAGGAAGAGAACACGTGACTGGGAGCCTTGCTTGCAGCAAATCTTCCTGAGTCTCGCCGTTCCCCTCCCATCAGCAAAACCCTTCTGCCCATTAGCAAAAAGCATCTCACTTCCCACCCTGCGCCTGGCCTGCGGGGAACGGCAGCTTCCCACCGCTGTCAGCTGAAAGGCCATTTCCCAGCCTTTGTCTTTGCAGTCTTTTAGTGCTGGGTGTTAAACACACTATGCCAATAATAAAAACTATAAATTAACCATGAAACGGAAGGGGGAAAAAAATCCTGTTTGACATGTGAAGACTACCTGATCTTTGAACCAAGCCTCACAGCTCCCAACAACATCAACAGGACTTGTGTTCAGACATAAAAAGCGGGTACACATCCAACCATAAATGGTTGGAAGCTTCTTTTCTTTATGAAAGTCAATTAAATGCAAATGGCTCCAAATCACAAGAAGAGCATTATTAAAAACCACACTGGATCCAAACATCAATTTAAACCACTTTTTTGCCTGAGGACTTACGGCACCGGTGTAACAGAGCCGAGTTAAATACAAGGACTATGTTCTGCTCCCAGTTACTGAACTGAGTAAGAAGGAAGAGGCCGCACAAATCTCACCCAGTGCCATATGGGACCAAGTCAGCTAAGGGGATTGCAGGGATGGTTTCAGGTATTATACAACTTCTCTCAGAGGAAAGAAAAAAAGGAAGAGAAAAAAAAAAAAGGTTCTGCATTTTAAGCAGAACCCCTTCAAATTCATTTTATTAATGTTCAGGCACAGATGGGAACTATGAAACACGAACAGGCTTTGCATGAATGCATTTTAAGTATGAAAAAATGCTCTTTATCTTATTTTTAAAAAGTACAAGCACCCTAACAACAGATAAAAAAATAACCTTCCCCCACTGAAACCCAAAGACATGCAAAAAGCGAAGGGAAACAAAGGGATTACTGTTCAAGCAATATAATTGTAGCTTATTAACTTTAAATAATACCTTCCAAACTAACTACCTGCTTCCACTTCTCCCTGTGTCACCTGTTGACCTCTCCTGCTTGGCCCAGGGCAGGACTCTCCTGTCTGCCATTGTCCCCGAGAGCAGCCTGGGAGCCCCGCTCCACGGGGCACGCGGGGCTGGAGCTGCCTCTCGGGGCAGCTCACCTGAGTGGCAGAAGGAAGCCTTTGTCGCGGATTTGAACCCCGTAATTACAGGGATTTTGGCGGCAGTGATTAAATAGCCGGCATTCAGGAAAAGAACACAGAAGCTTTCAGAAACTGCGGGGGTCAGAGACAGAGGCAGATCTACAGGTGGGGGCTGGCGATGAAGAGGAGGTAACAACGGAGGGTATTAGCATGCACTGAGGTGAAACAGCACGGACCCGGCGCCGCACCGCTGCTCCCACCTCCTCCTCCCCGAACAAAAGAGGGGCTGGGGGTGCTGCAGTGCTCAGGCACCAGGCTGGCGGAGCACGCTGATCCAACACCATCAGCAAAAGGTGGGCAAACACGTTCAGCTGTTTACGGAGCAGAAGATAAATCGATCTATCGATCGGAAGAATCTCCGAGAGAAACTTTTAGACAACCAGAGGATTCTGTAGGGCCATCTTACTCCACCCAAGCCCTTTTAGAAAGTGTCTCTTTCTGTTTTACACTTTCCCAAATCCTTTAACAACTCTATTTGAGATATTCTAATTTCACTCGGTGTTCCTGCAGGGCAGGGTTTAGAAACACTCATGCTACCTCCTGCACTCTGCTCCATGGATATGCTCATCTTAACCTCAGTAAGTTTAAGCTAACATTTAGGCAGATTAGTTCTCACGTTAACACAAACGCCGTGGTCGCAGGACAGAACCAAACAGCTTGAGCTGCCTGAAGGCAAAGTCCTTTGACAAATTCTGTTGCAAAGACGAATTTTGGGATTTGAGCAATCACTTGAAAAAACATAATGCTAAATTAGTAGTAATAACCCCGGGTTCAAAAGCGGGCACCTACAGCATATGCCCAGTTCCCACATTTGGCTCCTGGATGCAGAGAGGCCATGTCGCCGTGGTCTGCAGGCCAAAGCACGGGTTTGATTGTACAAAGGTCACGGCTAGATTACAAAACCTCCTCATGGGGACTGTATGGACAGAAAAGCTTTTTCTCAGCTGAAGTCATTTTGGAACAAAGTATAATTATTTTGCTATTGACTTCTGCTGGTGTAGGCACATCATGAAATATCCCCAAAGCCCACACCTCTAAATGACATTGGTAAAGTGGTTAAAATCGTTAGAGTAATAGTGAATATTAAAGTAGATTCTGTTTACCGAGAGCTCCTTCAGCTACTGGAGAGCTGTGCATTGAGGAAGGCTATTAATTAGCAAGGCACCATGCATTAGTATGCACAGAGCAGCTTCACTGTCCTAGTATTTCATTCATCTTGCTATGTCTTTCCCCTTCCACGGCCTCTCGGAGACCTACCAGTGCAGCGCTACGGGACATCTCTGAACCCATGGCCACCAGGACACTTTTATCTCCATTCCCACTAGTGCTTGGACCAGCCTTTTGTCCCGACTGTCCACCTGCTCTGCGTCTCGTCTCTGTCCAGGTTGAACGCTTGTGGGCAGAGATAACTGAACAGGCAGCCTGAGCGGTGAGAAGACCTGCATGAGCGCGCACCCACATCAGCGAGTCTGTCAGCTACCTGGCTCCAGGCAGCCTTTCCTTTGACAGCTTTATGGCCGATACTAAAGAGAATCAATATGAGGGCAAGGGGTTGACATTTCATTTTCTAAAAAGTGATCCATTGAGGGCCAATCACCAAGCAGTGTTTATCAGCCTTGGGAAGCGACATTTTTTTTATAGGGGAGGAGGGGAAGGAATCATCTCAAAGCAGCTCGACAGCTCAATTCTCCAAGGTGGCGACTCATAATTAGAAATCCAATGTACCCTGCTATCAATCCTGCCTTAAATAATAAAGTGATCAATAAAAGCAGAGAGGAGATTAAGTCATCAAGCTCAGTGATGCTATTTTCTGTTGCAATGGCTTTTAATAAACCTGTCTCTCTGCATTACATTTTCATATGTTCTGCTCTTCTTTCTTCTTGCCAGCATGGAGGCTTTGAGTTGAACACCCACAGAAAGCTATAACAATGCATGTCTACTTTCCAGATATTACAATCATAGCGACTTAACTGCTCTTTAAGACAATTTAAAGTAAGAGAGCAAATCAAGAGGAATTTGTGCACATTTATGGCTGATGCCATTAAACTGATCAACAGAGACTGACAAAACGTGCGTCCCTCAGATCCCAGGCTTCACATGCAGTAATGATACATCCAGTTTTATCTCAGAATTACACTGAAGCAAAATCATGCTCATCTTTTTAAATGAGACTGAACACAAAGATGAAGACAGAAACACTCACGCCGTGTTCTGCTACGCTGCCCTCCCATTCACAGGTTTGTTCCTGATGCCTGGGTTGAATTTGGGAGAATGAGCAAGTACTTGGTAGAAGATTATGGTCCTGCTCTGATGAAATAACCATCGATCCAGTCTGCTACGTTACTGCATATAATGCTGAAAGACCATGGCTTCTGTTTTACAGTCATATCCACTCACACTGGAAGGACTAACCCAAAAGACTAATGCAGACTCATACAGACTAACACAAAAATCACAAGCATAGCAGTCTGATGGCTTAGTTCACAACAGAGCAGTTGTTTATTCCCTGTCTATCAGGAGTCAGTCCAAGAAAATCTACTGTACCCATACCCATTAAACTTAACTTCAAATTACACTAACCACAAATCTCTAGCTGGCTTGCTTCTCAATGCCAGTTATTGCAATCAGCTTTGCATTTGAAGGGCAAATAGAGCTGGAACTATTGCCATTACATCACATGCTGCTTGGTACTAATGTTGAGAAGATCAAAGCTACATGGGAGAAGGCTTGTAATGCAAATGCACTGTTTATGATGCTAATCAAAGAATTTAGCTTTGTTTGGAGGAGACAAAAAGCTCCCTCATGAAAGAGAGAGGGGGAGAGAGAAGCTTAAGTTCTTACCTCCTGCTGATGACAAAGGCTGCAATGAGAATGACCACAAGAACAACGCTGCCAGCCACTGAAACAAGAAGCACTGTGGGATTGGTACCATCGCCAATGATGGGGGAAGGAACTGGAAACAGAAAAGGGAGCATTAGTGTCAGACACCCTCAAAAAATCAACCTAGGTAGCACTCAATGAGGCTTTCTGGCTTGTGAAGGCAGTTTAGAGTAGCACTCAAATCTACTTTCAGGCCTTTATTATATAGTCATTTGACACAATTTTCCAACAGGGCCCTAATTAGCTGAAGACATGATGTTTGATGATTTGGGGAACTTCAGTTCACTGGGAACAAGGACTCCCTCTCCTTCTCCCCTTCAGTGTTGCTCAGAGGGTATAATGGCTTTTTTTTTTGCCTTTCTAATTACTTTCCACTCTTCTTTCCTCCTCCTTTTTCTCTCAGTGGGGCCAAATGATCACTCCCCAGCTGACACAAAGAGAGTAAGTTATTTTATAACGTCTTCCCTCTTCCTGCTGGATTGATTATTTTCAGCTGTTACCATCCTGAAGGATGTTGCCACTAACTGGCATGACCTTAAATTGATTTAAACAGACCTGTACGTCCAAAATAAAATAGGCTTGGTCACATTGCCTTCCTGCCACCGAAAAGCAAACATTTTGGGGGCTAAATCTGCATGTTTTCTTGAGCAAAGTGAAAAGCTCTACTGACAACATAATTCAAACATTCTGTCATTTATGACTGCCTAAGGAAAAGTGCAAATCTATGAGCTGATGTAGGACACCTAACTGATCTATGTCAATAGCTTGCAAAGGGAAGTAACAGGGTTCTGTTCTCCTGCAAATGAGATATTCCAAACACATGTGCAAACATCTACATTTACAGTAAACAAAATGGGTACATAAATCTCTCAAGCATCAGTGGCTTCCAAGTGTTTATAGGGTGCGTGTCTCCTTATGCCACACTGAAGTATTTTCATTGCTAGAATCTAGAATATAGCATACCCAAATAGATGTCTCGGGTCAGATTCATGGCATCACTAACAGCCATGCGGCCATGGAAGAACATTTTGCCAGAACAGACACGCCACAGTCCAAGCAACCAACGGGAAACTCCCAACACACAGCTCAGTTACATTTGCACTCTTTGCTCAAGGAAAAGAAAAAGAAATCAGTGGGCATGTCATCACCTGTGTTAGTTGTGAACTCAAATGGTCCACTGAAGTCTCCATATCCTGCTGCTGTCCTGGCCCGCACGTGAAATACATACGAAGTCAGGGGGTTCAAGCCTTTGATGTCAGTATTCCTGGAGGCCGTCTTCACAATGCGATAGCTGCGCTCGTTTTGGTCCTGACAACAAAAGAACACAGCGGTGATCAAGTCAAAATGCCTCGCTGCGCCGTGAACCGTGGAACCCCACTTCCTTGCCAAAACCGTCATAATGAAAGAAGATGAGTAACAACGACGGAATTCTCAAAATACGTCCCGAGGGCTCCTGCTGTCGGCCTTGCTCAATACCCCTAGCACTGCGTGCTGCATGGAGCTCTGAGCAAGCCAAAAAAGGATGATGAGGCGGTAGGTATGATGCTCATATATCACTGATTATTTAAGAAATCACGCAATGATATCCTTTGGAAGATAGCCAAGCCTTCAAATAGGATCCTCTTGATGAACAAGCAACATTTTACTCACACATGCTGGCACTTTCTTTTTCTTCCTACCAGCCAGGAGCCATATAAAAAAAAAATGATTAAAATATTGTAAGAAAGAAAAGACTTAGAAAATGGCTTCCAGAAAGTCCAATCTTAAAAACTGTTCTATTTTTGTCTGGAAAATCCATCAGAAAATGTAATAATCTAGCTTCCCTGCAAATCAGATGCCTTTTTCTGTATGTGTTAGGGAAGCAAATAAGTGATTATCTTTATAAAAAAAATTTAGAAGTATGCATGCGCGTGTGAGAGAGAGCGCACACAAGCAAGAGCAGGTAATTGTTCATTTTTGCAGAGAACCTTCAAAGAAAATAGCTCTTTTCATAGTTCCATACTTGAGAAGTTATTTGTAGGAATAGCATCTCCCTCTAACTTGGAAAGTATGAAGAATGTAATTTTCTTTCCTTATTCTCTATTAAAAGCCATCCAGCCCACACTATCACTCTAAGCAGAAGCTATCGGCAAACAGATCTTCTTATTATTACTGTGTTATATACTTCATTATTATACTTCTGTCTATGAAGTAAAGCTAATGTCTCACTTCTGCCCAACATTATTGATTCTCGTTATAAATACGCTTGCTACAAAAGCTCCGTTCCTAGGTAGGAAAAAATAACAAAATAAACTCGTACCATACAGCTGGAACAGCCTATGAGTCTTATTCTTTCAAGCAACCATTCAAGTGCATGAAATCCTTAATTGGATTTTATTAAACTGAATCTATTTGGTTTCAAATGATAAAATTCTATCTGGAAGTAAACCGTAATGGAATGAAGTAAAAAGCTCTCCCCAAACCCAAACAAAACTCCTTGCTTGTCCATTTTTTAACAGTACCTTTTCATAATATTTGACTTCGTACTCCAGGATGACTCCATTTGGCCTGTCAGGTTCCAGCCAAGCCAAGGCAACGCTGTGCCTTGTTATCTCTTTAGCCTGGATCAAAGCAATTGGGGATGGAGCTGCCACAAGAAAAAAAAAAATTATAAGCAATAATTTAGTTTTAACGAGGAACATATTTTTAATCATAGCTTTCACAACATGAGCACTTTCAGAAATAGTGTTTTTCTTGCGGGGGGGGGAGGTTAGAAGCATTAAGTATTTGTCCTGTTTTCTCTAACAAAATTGCATTTAACCCTCTCTAATAAAGCTTGCTCTGGGATTCTGGGCAATACTAGACAGGCGGGTTCTGAAGTAACAATACAGTTGTCTAAACATTGCAACGTTCATGACGCCCAGGTACAAACCTCCATAAGAGGCTAAGGTACTGAAGGATTCTGCCTTATTTTTGTCCTTTGTTAGGCACGGTGCATAGACTTGTACTTTTGTTTTGGTCCACAGCGATTCTCTTCTTCCATCTCCTAAAATTAGCTGATGTTACTTCGTTAGCTATTTGCTCTACAGGAACTATGAAATTCCTGAAGGACCAATCTGGTTTTCTCTAAAGCTGAGAAAATGTTGCCACTGAATTAAGTAAGACCAGAATAAAGCTGAATACATATGAATTTGGACCCTCCCATGAAAACCAGGAAACTTGTATTTCAAGAGTCTGAGCCAATTTGTGCTTGCTAACTTGCCCTGCTCACGCCCGAGTCTGCGAGCAGTCCCTGGAGAACGGGGAAGCTCAGTGCCCAAGGGCCAGATTCTGGCTTTGATAGCTCCTTCCCAGCCAGAAGATGCCAGAGATCGGTCCATCGTGTACCAAACCGGCATCATCTGACCCTGTCCCATGTGGCGCTGTATTGATGCGATGAATAGAAAAAGCAGGATTACACTGCCAAGGGCAAGGGCTGCGCGATTTTGGGAAAAACTCTTACCTAGCAACAAGCTAAACTCAAAGACCCTTTAAACTGTATCTGTGTGCAGTAATAAGGGCTGCAATGAAGAAGATAAAGGAAAACATCTCATTGTGCACCCTACACTTTCAATAGAGCCCCTGCTAATGCTGAAGTTCAGGTTTTTGACTGGCTGGAAGACAATGCATTCTCCCTTTGACTGCGATAGCAGCAGATTCATGGCTGCGCTGGGGGAACGAGGTTTCTGAAGATTTATGAACCCGGATGCCCCTTTCTTGCTGTTGTGTTGCTGTGTGGTCACGTCTCTAGCCAGCTGTTATCAAGCTCTTTTGATGCCGACAATAGCTGGTATAAATGGCGGAGTCTCCAGGGATAAAAAGGGACATTCATGAAATTTTTAATCTTATCTAACAAAGCTGTCCTGTATAACCAGAGATTAGAGGTCCTCCTAAATTGAATATATTTCTTCTTTTGTCCCCTGAAGCCATAGCCATGTTGCTCTTTCCCCCCCCCCCTTTCCCTTTCTGTTTCTTTTTCTACCCTTAACTTTGGGATGACGATCCACGAAAATGTTCAAGAGTAGAAAGTATCCTTGAAACACATACCCTTGAAAACTACCAAGAAAGACAAATAAATGAAACACAATAAATGAAAGGAAAATTGAATGTTGAAAGCCTCAAACCTACTTGACCATATCAGACAGTTCTGATGGAAGTGAAAATAACCAGTAGACGCCGCACAGTCACAAAAGGGTGTCTCCTCTTGATGTGAAACCGTCAGGGAGCTGCTTCCCGATTTACTATTTGACAGTTTGGCATCTCTGTTAGAAATGCCTCCAAAACCTTTCTTTCTTTTTCCTTGTCTGTCTCTCACATGCAAAGTCAAATACTGGATGACAGAGGAGACTATAAACACAGCCAACAGGGAGGAGGATCCAGGTGTGCTCCATCAAGTTGTATCTGTGGCATGACTGAGAACCTGCTTAATAACCTCACAGTTCCTCAACAGAGCATCAGGCTTTTTTTCCTTCCCCTTTGCAGCAAGAATACTGCTCAGCTAATAGATTAGAAATCAGATTTGTTACCCTAAAACACACGCGCGCGCGACATTACTGATAAACCAATCGGAGAGAAATCTGCTTAGTTAATCGGTGCCTCATGCAGGACAGACAGGCAATTCTTTTTACTGAGAATCTGTCACTTATGCTGGTCTGACCTCAGGAACTGGTAGAGAGAAAGTTCACTTTCTTGCCTTTACCCTCTTTTTAACTTCCCTGGTTTAGAATTGGTAGAGAGAAAGTTCACTTTCTTTCCTTTACCCTCTTTTTAACTTCCCTGGTTTCCCATTTCATTTCTGCAGGTATTTATATTGGAATTTAGCGAGTCCTTCAATATTGGGCTGGTAAGTGCTGTATGAAAACGCATTTCTTCTCTGTTGTAAAAGAGCTATTTGCAGCAGCAGAATATATATTAACGACCCCTTCTTGTGAAAGATGCTTAGCTTTATATAGTTTAACAAGTGCTTTCTCATATCTCTCAAAAATGGACAGCTGATCTTAGGCACTACACCATACTGGAATAAGCAACCTGCTCCTGGCCTCCAGGACACAAAGAGGACTTGTACATCAATTCCTGTGTTACTCCTTAGGATTACAATTGTAAGAATGGCCCTATTTTTTCCTTCCTCTCCTTTATATGCAAATTCATCCTACTTAACTTCTAATCTCTTCTTTTGTCCCGTGTTCTGCAGATGAGCAATTTGTTTCTGAGGTTTTTTTGTTTTGACTGTACATCCTGCCTCTCCATATGCTATACAGAAATCCAAGGCGTGCTGAGTTCCAACTACAGGATGAAGTACCAGAATTGCAAGAGGCTGTCCAGGAGCTCTTTGACATCTCCGCAGCACAGACCTGTAACGGTCTATGCAATAGGATGGTGATCTGCAACTCTGTGGACCTTGAGGAACTGGGCTCAGTAACCACAGGGAGTACTACAGTTATCCCACGGCATGGATAAAATCCTCCATTACCAATTCCCTCTTATTTCTGCAAATAGCCCTACAAATCAGGTTTGTTTGTTTCCTTGTTTTCCAGGATCCACCAGCTGACCCGAGTAGTTGAAAGACTGGGCTTCTGGAAGAACAAGTCTGGGTCTCCTTGGACATATATTACCAAAAGGACGTAAGAGTCCGGGACAAATCACCACTGCCAGCTCATCATGGCAATCCAGGCAGCAGTCACAGCCTTCTGGGTGAGCTTGTGCAAAATATTTACATTCTTTGTTCCTCTCCCTCTTGCCTTTAAATTGCCTCTTAAGGATGATGTGAAGATAAACATGTAACAGGTTGTAAAATGATGCTTTGATCACGAGGAGAATAAAAGACAGAATCTTCTATGTGCATGGGCTAACTGTTCATTATATACACACATTCCTACACAAAACATACTGAGGACAGCTTGACCAAAAAGAATAATGTACACAATTAAGATGTTTGCAATAAGATCACATAATACTTTTGGAAAAGAGTGGGCGATCACTTTTTCTTTCACTTTTTGCACTTTCCTCCTCCCTACTCCCTGGTATTTGGAAAGGAACACTAAGCAAAAACCTGTTTCTCAGTCATCATTCCTTACAACAGCAAGTTTTTCTGCCACACGTGCACAGACTGTACACACCGAGCACCAATTCCACCACAACAGACCACTTCACAGGGAAGAATGACGAGGTATTTTGGGTCTCTAAAAAGGGGTCCCCTTGAACAAAAGCACCAAGTGGAACTTCCCCTAGTTCAAAGCTCAGCAGTTCCTCTCCCTTAAAAACCCCACTCCCTACTGATGTGAATGTTGCAATTTTCTTTTATCTACTTCCTCAATAACCTGCCATTAAACACCTACTAGTAGTTTTATTACTGCGGTTCTGCGCTTGCGGCCTACAGAGAGAGAAAGGGCACAGATGTACTACAAGAACTTCACCCAAATGCCATAAAGCCATATCCCAAGGCTAGTAAGTGCTGAACTGTAACAGTTTTGAGGCACTTTAAAGGATGGCAGAAGCAAAGTGTCAGTTTTTCATTACTGGTTCAAATTAGGAGGGGAAGAGGGGGGGGGGGGGGGAGGAAAAAACCAGGAAATAAATAGATGCAATAAAGTCTCTGGCATGTAGGCATCCATGAGTGAAAACAGCCCTTTACAAAACTACTACACACGAGTACTCAGATATCAAAGATACACAATGCCCAGTGTTTTAGTGAAGATGCCTTCTTAACCACAGCAGGGTTTACTTTCCACTCCCCATGATTTGAATTTAAATGGGTCATGTTTACTTAAGGGGTCTTTCACTGATTGAAAAATATACCCACAGTTTGTACATTATCTCAGCTAAATTCAAATAACATATTTAAATTTAATTACTTGAAGCTTAGGGGTTTTCATGCTTTTCTTTTTTCCCTCAATTGCACACAACACCACTTATTTGTTCTTATCAATGGCTATGCGCTTTGTCAAGCATCAAAATTAAATGCTTGAAAGCACTAATGATGTTACTGTGATTAAGGGTTTTTACCTTCCAGGGTAGATACTAAAAGCCTGCTCCATTATTAATTACTTAAAAAAAAAAAATTATTTCTGAGAATCTAACACTGAAGAAAAGTCCTCTTGGAAATCAAAACAAGACAATAAAAGGTCTTCTCTTAATTGGGACAAAACACATTTAAGGGAACCTGGCACATTTCAGGTTTTCTCTTAATATTTGCCTTGTAATATTGTGGGTTTTTACATGGGATTTTGTAAATTATATTATCAAATAATCTCACAGCAGGAAAGGGATATACAACACAGAGAATCAAATATGTTTTTAATCATTTCTAAAGGCAACATTCTCCAGGCCAGATTCTGGTAATTTTATTCATGTAAGCAAGCGACTTACTCTACTAGCTGTCACACTGACTTCAAACCAAGCGAAGGGAGAAAGTATCCAGCCCTATTTAGTTACATGTACCAGAATAAATTAAAAAGAAAGCAGTTCTGCTCTTTCCCGAAACGTTGATGTTCAGTTCTGCTTCCCGTTGGTCCCCTGGGCCTTCTACCCACACCCCTCTCTTGTCCAGCCAGAAATGCTCCTGCTTCTGAGTAACACCCCCCCTGTGCTCCGAGGAGTACTGGCGCATGGCTTTGCAAACAAAGGAGAATGCGTTTTAGCATGACCAAATTTCCACACACATGCACAGCATACGTATAAAGCCAGGTATGGACGTAAGGATAAGCACACGAGAGGCTTTTGCACACGTGAACCTACGTGCACACGCAGATTAGATGTCTGCGCACGCCTGAAGAACTGAGCTGGAGTTTGGCATTCCCGTTCTTCACTGCCAGTATGACAGCTACGCCTTTCTCCTAGGGACCAGCAAGAGTCTGCGGGCTGGATGTGCACTTTAAACACTAACCACATGCATATTTTATGTTTTTTTCATTATTCCCTCTGTGTAAGTGGAGCAAACATTTGTACCAGTGATGATTGGGCCAGGTTAGGACTTGGACAAGGATCTAGAGGCCTGATTGCTCAACTGAGCCACTGGAAGCCTCCCAAGACATTCCCGAGTCCTCTGTCTTCCCACCGTCTGCCTCTCCCTCCCCTAGGAATGATGACTGGTGAGGAATACTTCCCAGCCTGGAAACTGAGACATGCCAAGATTCAGGCCAGCTTTTTCAAGCTTTAGCATTAAAGCAAAGACTTTAAATCTACGCCACTAGAGCAAAGCGCCCAAGGTTATCCACCCACACTTGAAAATCCTGGCCGACGTCATGTGAAGCAGTGTGACAGCTGAGCTCAGCCTCTTTCTCCCAATCCCTTCAACCAGCCGTAATACTTCTGGACTGAACTTTCCCTCTTTGTTACTAGAAATTACGCTGCTCAGGAAAAGCACCAGCTCGGCCACAGGATACTCTCGTAGGACACCTTCATCCCAAAACGACAGGCACCAGCGATCTTCCCTTTCTTTCCAGGCTCCACAACCCAGTCACTGCCAAAGAGCTCCGAGAAAAACAAGTGACAAGCTCTCAAACCTAGAGACCAGCTCACATCAGTTATGTTTGTAATGATGTGTTCATAAAGAAAGGGGCTAGAAAATGGGATTTTAAAGACTGTTAACACAGCATTATTATGTTTTAAACATTTCCTCCGTTTTGAAGTTTTCATTTCTTGCCTCTCCCAAAAGAACCTGCGCTGCAAATCTTGCCAAACCACAAAAGCTGGCTCTGACTTGCATCAAATCAAAAGCTTGAAGGAAAACCCAGGCTGTTAGCAGCAACAAATAGTAGTAGTTGAGGATTATTAGAGTGCTGTATTTTTACCACCCTTACTCCAGCTTCAGTTCTTGGCGACGTGCAGTAGCTGCTGAGGATCCACAAAAAGCCTGTGTATTTTCTGGGTTGCACGTCCAGTTCTGTGTCAGTTTTAGCACAGACCACTTCAGCATACCAGAACTGCTCTAATTTAGATCAAACCAATCACAGGAGCTGAGGTCTGACCAGTTCCCGGTGGTTTGCATTAGGAACTGCAATGAGATAGGGGTGACGAAGAAGATTTTGCACAGCCAGGAGACGGCTCGTTCTGGCTATTAATTTCTGAGGATCAGCTCTTGACAGCAATACATTATTTTCAGGTACTGGCCCTCCAATTCTGAAGGCCAAATAATGATGTCAGCTAATGCAATGCGGGTCTGGAGTAACTCCAAAGATCTGAATCTGCAACCTGCAATCCCAAAGATTGCCTTAAACCAAAAGACTATAGAATCTACATAGCATTTAGCAAGAGATCTGTATTACAACTCAAGCATGGGGTCTGTTTAGTCTGAGAACTGCTTGTTTTCTTTCTGCTAGCTTGCTAAGAAATCCTGTTGGCATGTTCTGACAAGGATAACTTAATAGTTGCCAACAGAAACATGGCAGAATACTGTGTATTTCCTGTATGTATGAATGCCAGTTTAAAACAAACAGGAAAACAAGTCTTTCAGTTGGAAGGCAATTTATAAAAATCTGTCTGAACATTACAAACTCCTAAAAAACCCAGCACTGAAACATTTCTAAATGCTTAAACTAGAATGATTAACACAAGAAGGGTGACCGTACTTAGCGCTGTGAATTGCTCTAAGAAACTCTAGAGCTATAAGCAATTTGTTAAGATGGGGAATTAGTCAGCAGCTGCCTGACCTGAGCAGGTTTGGAGCCGCTGGTCACAAAGCAGGTCACGTTGCAGTTACTCTTCCCTCTAGTTGAGGTTAGAATCTGACCCAATATAAACAACAATAAATTCTGTAGCCTAAAGAAGCCAACAGTGATGCTCCGCTGCATTACATTGGATTGAGAGAAGCAGAGAAAATAGGCCACGCAGTCCGGTCAAAGAGAGATGGGCCTAACTCTCAACAGTTGTCCTTTACGGCCCAGACCAGTCAGGCTTAGAGGTAGGATCCCACGACCCGAATTTAGGTTGAACACTTCTGCAAGTGCTGCAATCATCCTCTTACTTCCCAGACGCCGGTCCAGCAAGCACAGACCGCCAGAAACCACCAATGCTGGGACACAACGTATAAGCACCCCAGGGTGCAGTGGCTCTGGGGGAACCAGAATGAGAAATCAGAGACCATAACCTCTAGTTATGACAACGGATAATAATGTTGGAAATGGGGCATTCCCCAACCGCTCAAAATAAGTAGTCTGGAGCAATCTGACCTACTCACCACCAGCCCCTCAGGGCAACTCCACCTCACCCACGCACCCTGCTGTTCCTCCCGGGAAGCCGAGGTAGCCACCAGAGCTAATTCCTCCCCAGAAATAGCCTGTCCTTCACCCTTGTATTGCTGCACAGGAGGAGGATCTGCTCAGCTGCCTTGTCAAAACAAACTCCTCCGCTCCCCCTCCAGCCCCTTCCACAAGGAAATCAAAGCAACCCTCAAAGGCACATCAGATGCCCCCAAATGAGACCCCTGTCCCGTTCTCTAAGCCCTTCCTCAAGTCAAGCAACCATCCAGCTACTCCTCCTCCCATTTTCCCATCTTCCTGCCCACAGTCAGAGGAGTTAAGACATGTCTGCATACACTTCATGAGTCAACAGACGAGGGGGGTAGAGCTGTTCTTAAATTGTACAGGACCAACGAAATAACTTACCATCTATCTCTGCCCTGCAAACCACTTCTTGTGTGCAGCTTTCGAACCACTTACAAGAGCGAATCGACAATCCATAAAACAATACCGAAA